TAATTTACTTCACTTGGGAAAAAAAAATAATTTATGCATTATTATTTGTACATTTGTCCAAAAGCAGTCAAAATGACTTCCTTGGGCAATCTAGTGTTAAACATCTTACGTAACCTTATTTTCAAAGCAGTTTCACAGCAGTCGACACCAAGGTTTTTTTTAATCATCAAAGATTTTTCGTCCTCGTTATTAATCTTCTGGGCGCATTAAAATACTATAGAAAGACCGTGCAGAGGGATTGACGGAATCAAATAAAGCTTCACGCTTATGAGATGCCAGTCTACACTCTATAAGCGAGGAGGCAGCCGCTGATGCTAATAACGTTTTTAACACATTGAAGACGGGAGACGGGAATCCTCCTCTTTTATTTTTCAACTGCTGGCGACGTATGACGTAAATTCACGTCAAAACGTGACGTGAACTGGAAATGTACGGGAACTGGGGCTAGACACTTTTCACCGCAAACCGTCTTCAATGTGTTAAGAGCGAAAGTGATAACATCTGCACACTTAATCGTTGTATCAGAATATCCGTTATTAGTTACGTTGTGAATTAAAAGTAGAAGGGATACACTCCAGAAAGTTCTCAAGGAAATAAGGAATAAATATACTAGTCACTTACGATATTGGAGTCTAAGAACAGCGTTATCTTCATTGATTAACCTTCGGACGCTAAACTGTGGCATGACCCTGACATGCTTAATATTGATTCACATTTGACCCTGTAAAAGGGTGTGTACGTTAAGATATCCGATGTTCAAGGGTACTAAGCTTTCCCCTGTACCAACGAATATTGCCCGATTTCTCTTCAGCTCCTGAGCAAATTCGTACGATAGTTTACGATAGCGTATGATAGTTTAAAATGGTTGTATAATAGTTTGTGACAGTATGTCACGGTTTATCATGGATGTGTAATAATTTCTGGTAAATTATGATCAATTGTACAATATAGTATGATACTTCTATGATTTTTTATTCTATGCATATAAAAATGAAAAAAAATTCTCACGTATACTGTTCACATAGTAGTTGAAGAAATCGTATTTTCCTATTGTACTAGACAGTATATCGGTATAGAAATGAAATAAGAACGCACATTTGTAATAAAAATTGACGACCTTCATACATGTTCTTTACAATTTGTACGTACTGCTTGTTTTCGTATTATTGGGTCAGGTCAGAGTTCGGCGCCCCTCGTCCGGAGATTGATACGTGTTCTATGGAGATATCGCTAAACTTACACGAGGATCGTGAGTGATTACTATAATTATTCCTGTTCTGGACTTCCCGGAAAGTAATCACGTTTCTCTTCTACTTCTAATTGGCAAGATGACTGATTATGGGTAGAGGTTATCTCTTTCGCTGTTGGATGCACTTGACTTTCAGGGTGACCTTAACTTTGTGACTGCCGCGGTCGCGCATTGTGCGGTTCCTTGAGCTTACAGAATATAGACTGGCATCTTAAAGAAATGAAGCTTTCTTCGTTCTCATCAGTTCGACTGCACGTACTTACACGTTTTAGAAAAATTTAGTACGTCCAGAATATCAATAACGGGAACGAAAGATCTTGGATGAGCAAAACAATCTTTGGTGTCAACTATCATAAAAGATTGCGAGCAATTAAATTAGGGGTAAGTAACTGAAAAATCACATTATTCCAGACTCGGGAAAACGAGAATGATATGAGAATGCAGCAACGTCGTGCAAGATACATTAGGCCGAGTTAGAAAAGAGTTTGGAAACAGATTGTATCTAAGCTAAGCTCAATGATTTCAATCAATGAATTATTGGACGAACAAACTATCGAAAAAGTTATAAGATCAACTATATCCAAGATTTGGGAAGGATTCTTGGAATTCGGATCAGCTAGCGCAGGATTAATAACTATATTTATTATTTTCAAATTTATTAAAAGTCTCATTGACATTTTAGCAAACGTTTACGCTTTGCATTCAGCGTGTGCAGTCTTCACATATTTGGGGCAATAAGTTGTTACGATACAAGTTATTTTATATTTATAAGTTATAAGTTGTTACGATACAATATAAGTTGTTCATCGATCATGTATGTACCTCCTGGTCCATCTGCGAAATAAGGACCCAACGGATAAAGAACCTCATCAATGCGACATTACCAACAACGAAAAGGAAAGGCCGATAACGACAATACAGACAGAAATGCAACGCTTAAAAACTCTGTGAGAAGATTAAGTAGAAATCGAAAAATAAATTTTGGACATCAGCCCAAAATTTATTTTCCCCTAGGGGGAGATGTCACATTCATGTATTCTGTACTACATATGGATGGTAACCCTTGCAAACAAGCCAACAAATTAAAACCATAGTCGGTAAGTTGCCATAACAGATAACTTACCATAATCGGTAACTTATTATAGTCGATAACTTGCCATAGCCGGTAACTTATTATAACCGATAACTTATATAAACATATAAACATTCAAAGTTGCCTAGTTTTTTATTTTTTTATGAAAAGGTTTGTTTTTCTTGGAGGTTAAATTATACTAAACAGTCTTACATGGTAGGGTCACGTCATCGTAGTTTATACGTAAATTAGCATTTAGAATTCTTGCTTTGTCATTTTTCGCGTGCACATTATCACGTAGTAATGAGAAACATGTTAATGTTTATTAAAAATAAAGTATATTATCTATACTGTTAATTACTTCTTCAAGGATTCGTTCTTTCTTCAGGTTTTATTCAGAATTAGGTTTATGTACGTTCTCATGCATGCAATTAACGATACTTAACGCAAGACTGGTAAAACAGTGTGGGTAATATACGTGAAGATTCAATTATAATAGCAGAGTAAATGTCTGAAGTAAATAGATGCAAATTATCGTTAACAAATATGACTATACATTAAAATATTCTTAGTAACAAAATCTAACACTTTGCAGTCCAGTTTTTAACTTTTCTCGGTTCCTTTCGTCCGTTAAATACGAACACCAATAGTATTCATAATTTTTATGAAGAACATTTAACATTATACATATGTATGTATTGCCAAATTTGATTACATATATCGTTTAAAATTCTAATAGACGCGTTATCGCACTGTCAAATTAATAATACGCCGTTAACAATGCCGCTGCTTAGTCAACTTTTACAAATGCCTCTTAAATCGCGACGAGGACAATAAAGGCCAACCTACCCATTCGGCTTGCTTATTACTGTGAAAATGAACGCGAAGAATCTATTAACCGCAGTACTCCTTTTATTGATGAATGTATCGTGCCATGGTGAAGAGATCGTGAAGGTTCGAACGCCCTTAGGTCGTATAAGTGGTCATCGTACAGTAAATCAGTATGGTAAAAAGTACGATGTTTTTCTGGGCATTCCCTACGCCCAACCGCCCATCGGAAGGCTCAGATTCGCAGTACGTTGATCGAGACTGTTAAAATTAGACGGCAGGCTTTTATGCAAAATAAAACTTTAGTGATGTGAATTTAATAGATGGAATAAAAATTCAGATTTTCTTTCTTCTATGAAAATAATGGTACGTGATTGTTAGAGATGTCCAAGAATCCGAAAATACTGAGAATCCGATGATCAGTGCGGCTCGAACCGGATTGGGTGTTTAAAAACTTCGAAATTCTTTGAAAATGTCGGGATCGTCGAGTTCGTGTGGGATTCTGGAGTATCTTCAACTTTCTCGGTTATGTCTAAATTGTCGAACATGTTCGGAATTCAAAAGATAGAAAAAAATTCAAAAAGATAAAAGCCGCAGTCTAATTGAAATAATTTGGGCTTCTCAGATATGTGTAATCAGGTCGTTTTAGCCACCTCAACCGGTACAGAAATGGGAATACGAACTACAAGCGACGAAAAGGGGGAGTTTTTGCGCGCAAGACGACACAATGTCGCGTAAATCAGACAAAGTCTCTGGTTGCGAGGATTGCTTGTACTTGAATGTCTACATACCGGTTCAGAATAACAGCAAAACGCGGTTACCAGTGTTGTTTTGGATTCATTCCGGATATTTTCAACGTGGTGCATCAGACGAGGTAGACGAGAATACTTTCCAGAATTTTGACGCAATACTGGTAACGATAGATTATCGATTAGGACCATTCGGTAAGAAAAATGCTCGACGCAGGTAAAAGATTAGAATAAGTTCTGAACGTATAAACGTCCATTTAAGGTTTCCTTAGCACGGGAGACAGCGTTGTGCCAGGTAACATGGGACTGAAGGATCAGAGCATGGCTTTGCGTTGGGTCTATAAAAATATCAGAAGCTTTGGTGGTAACCCTAAAAACATAACTCTTGCTGGTAGTAGTGCAGGTGCCATGAGCGTACATTATCACTATTTATCGGCCCTGAGCGCTGGTCTTTTCCAAAGTAAATTAATGTTGATCTTTAAGAATTTATATTATTTTCTTAAGAACCCATGGTTCGATTAAAATATTGTAATTAGCCAAGAAGTCGGATTACAATTCGGTTGCTTTTACTAAACATAATTATTTATTTTCTTATATAATAGGAGGTATATCTATAACTGGCGCAGTACTCATCCCTCCAGCATTAACAAAAAATGCTCCCGCAAAAGCTAAGAAGTTCGGAGCTTCCTTGGGATGTCCAACAAGCAATTCAACTGACATGATTAACTGTCTACGACAAGTACCACCACGAACTTTAGCCCAAGCTACAAGCAGTCTTTTGGTGATAATCTCTTTTCTTTCGTAATATATAGACAATATTGGACAGTATCGACTATGACTAGCGAAAAATTAATGCTACTATTTACTTGGAATTATTATTGTAATGATACAGTTAAGCGCATAAATCTATACGGTCAATTTTTTATTATCTACTTAAAAATTACAGGCGTGGTACATGGCACCATATATTCCGTTTGGACCCGTCGTCGAGGTACCCGGACCTAACGCGTTCATTTCACGTCCTCCAGTCGACATCATCAACAGTCACGAGGTCTACGATGTTCCTTGGATGGTTGGCACTGTCAGTGAGGAAGGGTTGTTTCCCGTTGCAAGTTTGTACACCGTAACTGTATAAATATTTATAGTAAAAATTGTATAATAATGATAAAAATGACTTCTGCAGTGTTTTTCAATGACGACAAAATACTAG